ACTCAGCCTGCCGGAGGAAGAACGGCCGGACCCTCCAGCAAGCCAGCTGAGACATCCACGGCGAAACCACCACCTGTTTCGACCACCTCCAGCGCTCGCCCTCGGCCGGTCCCGCGATCACCACCACGCCTCCATGATCGACGTGCTGAGAAGTATTGGGCTCCCTTTGAAAGGGCCCCCATCCGTTCGGCTGCTGCCGGACCGGCTTATCCGTTCCCCCGTGAGGAGGAACGTAGGCCTCGTCAGGAAGACGAACCTCCAGAAGATTCGGGGCTCCGTTTCTTCTGGCAACCGCCAGCGACAGCACCCACCAGCCGCAGAGCCGACTACGCGCCTGAGCAGTACGGGTATTACACCTCGGCGGCCGCTAGCGCACCGCCCCGACCAGCTCTTGGGCGCGGGGCGAACGCCCGTTTCGGACCTCCTCCACCAAGTCAGGCAACCCGCTGGTCCAGAGAGACCATCGAGGCTCTCCGAGGGATCCTGGACCAAGCCCAGCGCAGCCAGCAGCAGAGTCCGGAGCGCAGGTACCCTCCCCGATAAATCGGTGGCATCATCCCCGTTCAAACGGCGGCGCATCCCCGATGAATCGGTGGCAACTTCCCCGTGCAATCGGCGGCACATCGCCGTTGAGACGGAGGCAACATCCCTGAGAAATCAGTGGCACATCCCCGCAAGGAGGGTGCACATCCGGAGTGGAACACCCCGGCTATCCACTCGCCACCAAGGGTGGCGACTTAAACATTGTTTTTTTTTGGTGGAAATTCCACATTTTTCTCCTTTTTTTTTGTTTTTGCGTGCTTCCTTTGAGAGGATAGTTTTTTTTGATACCGTTCTCTTTTTTTTGATACGACCTGTTTTTTTTGTGTTTCGTTGTGTATTTTTATATACTTATATTTTTTTGATAGGGTGCCGATTATAATTATTGTAGTGGTGATAAGTCTCACACGTACCTGAAGGCACCCAACGTGGCGTAAGTTTTGTGATAATGCGGAAGAATCCGTCCGGGGAGATGACTCCCCACAAGCACCAAAATGTGCCATAAGCCCAAGGGGGCAATCAAGTTTTTTTTTTGTTTTATTATAAAATTAAGGTAGCCTTTCAGAGGCTGTTCCGGGTCAAACGACCCGGCAAATATAAAGATACGTTTGATCCACATTGTACCTTTATTCCGACCCTTACTTCAGGGTGTGGGTTCGAGTTTTTCCCCGACTTTACGTTGGTGGAGTTTAGGTGTGATGCAGATCTCCGGAACCGGGACATCACGAAGGCTGACCCGGATACGGACCATCAAAGGAGGGGGGTGTAACGAGCATCGGGGATGCCCGTTAGGATCCCCAAGAAAATTGAGAGATCGGGAAAGAGAGTGAGAACAGTAGGCCGCAGGTTAGGTTTAGGGAAGTTAGGATTTCCCCCCTTCAGGGTGGTGCACGGAATTTAGGGTTAAGGTTAGGGTGAGTTTCAGGATCGGGTTAGGTCCGACGAAAGACGCCGGCGCTCCAGGTGAAAGGGTTTAAGGGGCTGATTGGTACGGGTGGAAGGCCGTACGGGGTAAAAATATTAACAACCCCGACGGATTGCCAAAGACTGATTACGGGTGGAAGGTCGTACGGGGTAGATTCAGTCACTACCCTTACGAATTGCCAAGACTGAATACGGGTGGGAGGCCGCACGAGATAAAATCAGTCGTTATCTCGGCGGATTGCCAAAAATTAATTAGCGGTTAAGATTAGAAATATTATGTTAAAGTTAGAGATTAAGGTCTTTCAGTCCCGAGAATCCAGGGGAACCGATCCGGAGGAAATACGCATGGTGGAATTAATTCTAGTGATGGGGAATTAATTCAAATTTGAATTAATTCCCCCGCGAAGGGCTTGACCTAGAATAAGGTAGAGGGATCCACCAATCGACACCCGATCGATTGGTAGGCGTGATTAGGGGGTCAGCGCAACGCGACACTGACCTCCGAAAATCAGTTCCGCGTTGACTGTGAAACACCACGCACGTGAGTGAAAAAGAACCTAGTGAGAATTAACGAGTGCATCACCCAGGACTTCCGGAGATATTACCGCCCCAGAATGGTCCTGAAGAAAAGGAAAAGGACAGCGAGGAGGTCTACCGTGAGTTTTTACGGGTTATTTTGAGTATTTCCCCATTTTTGGCGGCTCCCCAATAATTAATTGGCGGTGGTGAATTTTTCCCAGCCATGGAAATGACGTCGGTTGTGTCCCCCAAGTTTTGAGTGGTTTTAGAGAGGTTTGTGGAGGGTTTTACCGAATAATTTCGGGTTACTCTATCCCCCAGTGCGATTGGGAGGCTATCAGTGTGATTTGTGGGGTTTTGGGGATAATTTTGAGGGGGTTTTAAGGGTGAAATTGTCCACGGCCAACGAACAAGGCCCGTGGTTTTCCCTCGTGGCGCAATCGAGGCCGCCACGAGTGGCTGTATGCAACAGGTGGGATATCGCGTGTTAGATTTCCTTGGGATTATTAATTGTTTTAAGGGGTTAATTATGGGCCCTTACGCCTGAATTTCTGTAGGATTGTGGGGGATGATGTCCCGGACCAGATGGTTCAGGGTGTTCCAGAATCCGCCGAGCGGATTCCGAGTTATGGATTTTTTTATAAAGTTAGATTTTCTTTTTGGGAATTTCTCCTCGCTGCTAA